CTTGGAATTCAATTTGCCTTATCTTGAGTAATCAGGCCATTTTTAAATAATGCTTAACAATAAGGGCAGGCGAAATACATAAAATATATTTTAAAAAAAATTTGGGCCCTCTCTTTCAACTATTAAAAAATATTAAAGAGGTAAATAAGTTAAATAATGTCCAATATGACCCCTAAATAAATTTGAAGCAAGAGAATTTATTATTAAATTAAAACATAGAACTTATATTAAATAAGTTAAATATATAGGATGTATTAACAATGACGGGATTTAACCATACCAAACTAAGAAGGTTACAAACACTTACTGAAGTATTGGCGACATTTTATTTGAAATAAATTATTTAGTTAGATAAGAATTATATAAAAGAAAAAGAGAAGGTCCGAATTAAGAATTAATTGAATTTTTCGGGACAGTAAAAGACACATTTTATTAAAGGATATATATATTTTTTTATTTTATTAAATCACCACAATATTTGTTTCATAAAAAATAATAATTTATGTCAAAATTTTATAAAACATTAATTATGGGTATCATTTAATATAAAAACACATTATTATGGTTAATGATATTCACTACCTTAAGGTATTACCTATCAAATTTGTATTTTGTTTATTTATTTGGATAGGCACTACCAAATTTATCACAATTTATATCTTAAAAATTGTGATTTTTGGAAAGCCTCTGTGGCCTAGTCGGCAAAGGCGTTGCTTACCAATCCGATGGTTATGGGTTCGAATCCCAGCAATGATTATGTTTTTTTTCTAATCTGACATGGTGGTTCCTCCCTCCTTGGGGGGATGATATATAGGAAGCCTGACTCGACCACGTGATTCCGTTATAATATATGTTTAATAAGGGTCTTATTAAATTTTAAATTTTGGTCGGTATTTAGCAAATTTGGTTGGTATTTAGAAAATTGCTATATGTTGACTTAATAGTGAACCATATTATATCTTTTATTGAATTGTGCACTCGGTAAAACAGAGTTTTTTAAAATATTAAACTTAGATTATCTAACTCTTCGATGTCAAAAGAATTTTCTAATTTTTATAAAAAAATTTAAATCATCAGAAATCTTTAAACTAATTTTCGACCAACAAATTTATTTTATTCACTCCAAAATTCTTATATATTTTTATATTTACAAAAGTAAAACCGAAAATATTCAGTTTCTTAGCTTATTATTATTAATATATTTTTATAAGATATTTTAAATTATTATATAATTCTATTTTGTCATCTGCTGTTCCTGTATAAGATTATTCAAAAGAAGCGCGCTATTAGCTACTATTTTAAAAATAGCTTTGGCTACTATTTTTTAAAAATAGTTTTGGCTACTTTTTTAGCTGCTTTTTATAAAAATTTAATTTTTGTTTATATCAACATTTATAAATGCAGTAAATTTTGATTATAAAAAAATTTATGTAATAAAAATAACTATTTATGGTAATATTCAGTTTTTATTTATTTTGTTGCATTTTAATAATAAAATCATTAAAATATTATCATTCCCAAGTCTAGAGCGACTATTAGAAAGTATAAGTTTCGCCTTACTAGATAATTAAGGCAGTATTTAATTTTATATACATATTTTTAATATAAGAAAGATTATCAAAAATACTCATTTGAGTATTTTTAGAATTAAAAACGCGTCGAGGGGATTTTCCATATATTATCTTTTATTTCAAAAAATTAATGTCTAGCTAATGGCCTGTCATTCCCAAATAAGCTCTATAAATATTTAATCAGATCAATTTATAAATATAAATAAGTTTTTACCTTCTGTAATGTGCCCAACTCTCTACCGTAGTACATATTATGATGTTTCTGACAACTCTACTATTAGAGCATTTCATAACTTTAAAGTTAGCTGCTATCCTATTCATTAGTGTCTGGTACATAAAATTGTTGTACCAGGGGATAGAGTTTTAATCATCATGGTAAATGATGAATCATCAACCAAGGACATTGGTTGAACTGTATCAATTATAAAATCAACAATAACGTTATCAGCCAGTTTCTGAGAAATATTGGATCAATCAATTTAGTTTGAATTAATCTTTTTGGATGTAGAGTCGTCTATATCAAAATTATTTAGATGTTTTTCTATCTCCTTAAAACTATTGGCATGAACATTCTTATAAAATAAATATTATTTTTAAAAATGACAATTTACCTTTAGGTGTTTTTTGAGGTTATAGCTACTGGATTGAATTGAGGAAATATATTTTTAGCATTTTAAACAAATAAATTTAAAGCCAGTTTTGGTTTTTATATTTTAAAAAAATTTTCATGAAATGGGAAATTTGTTTTACGGCTATTAAGAACATTTTCTTCCATGGTATCTTTCACTTCATTAATATCATCACCTTTCTCACTTTCAACGATTTGGATGTCCATAGGCGATGACATTTTAAATTATTTACACGTGATTTAGGTTTATAATACAAATTGAAAATATAAATTACAAATTGAAAATATATTTTTAAATATTCATGTTTATAATTACATTCATTATAATTTTAAAAAGTAGCTAGCGCGCTACTTAGCTACTTTCAAAAAAGGAGCGCGCTAAAAAAATTAAATAATTACAAAAAAGGTAACATGCCATTAGCTATAGCTACCAAAATAGATAGCGCTAGCTACCAAAATAGATAGCGCGTTAAGTAGCGCGCTACTTTCTGAAAAACTTATGTTAAAAATTAGCTATATTTTATAAATTATTTAAATATAATATTCATTTTTTTAATTTTAAATGTGATTATTTGAATTATTTTATATGTTTGTTATATTATTTTATTAAATATTATTTTATAATTTTAACTCTGTGTCTGAAAAATTCATATTGTGCAACAGTGGCTTATCCAGGATTTTCTTATGGGGGGGGGGTATTTTTTTTTGGGGGGGGGGCTTCGCCCTCTAACCCCTTTAGGTGGCCTTGGGCCAGCTTTTGCCCTTCGGCCGGGTCTTATGTTTTAGCTATTCTATTAAAATATACATAATTTAATAATAATTATATATCTATTTTTAACTTTTATTTACTAATTTGTGCATATCGATATTACAAGCCTATTATTTATTATTTTAAGTTAGGTATGTTATATTTAATAAAGTTTTTATAAATGTAAAGTTGAAATAAAGTTTAATGTCATTTTATTTTAAAATTTGCTTTAAAAACTAGCCTCAGCTTAAATTCTCATACAATATAAGTAGAATAAAATTTTTTTTATTGAAAATACTAATTGTACAGTGTATAAAATATTGACTAGAAAATCATTTAAAAAGCAAGTTTTTATAACTTCTATCAAATACAATATTATCAAAAGTTTATTAAACACTATAACTATAATGTAATTTTTAATTTTCGTGTGGATGTTGCCAATTCATCTAGAATTTCGTCAATCGTTGGAACTAAATCTATATGAATATTTAACATAACTAATCCATTTAGCCGAGATTCTGAAATAGTACTTCGTAAAAATGTCTTCAGTCTTCTCAAGTTTTAAAATGTCCTTTCATTCGTGCATGTTGTAATAGGCAAACATGCAAGAATATAAAATAACTTCAAAATATCGGGAAATTGAGCCAACATGCTCAGACATATTTAATTCTGTTCTAAAGAAAAATGAAAAATATAAAATTAGATATTTATTAATAATTAAAAATTCTTATTAATTCTAACTCACTATTTAATAATTTTGAATTTCATATAATAAATATATTTAATAATAAATTATATACCGTTTGATTTCAATATCTTTGTCTTTGACTAAAAATTTCTCCATTTTTTATTAATATTTTTGAATAATGTTAATGTACTCACAAGGTAAGGAAATTTAAAAAAAATTTATTTATAAAAAATAAGTTTTATGTTGGAAAATTGATTTTCAAATATTTGTAAATATTTGATTGAAGGGTGGGGGAGGGAGTAATATTTAAAATGATATTTATGAAAACAGTCAAATTTGCGATGGGAAGGGGGAAATCCCCCCCCCCCCCCACTATTGGTTACGCCCCTGTTGTGCAATATAATTGGGCTCAAATTTACTTATTAATTATATTTGCAATTATATAATTTATGTGATTTTAGATATTTCTTTTATAATGTTTGTATTACTGTAGATAAAATATAATAAAATTTTGATATGTATATATTTATTTAATTATTAGAATTTTAGAAAAGGTATTTTCACACTCATCTGATAATACTTTTTTGATTATACCCCGCGAACCAGTATACAACTAATTTTAGTGGATATCATTGAATAAGCCTTGTTACTGTAGAGAATAGCCTCTGGAATGGAAAACCCATCTTATCTTTTGATTTGCCAAAGATAAAAAAGTTGTCAAAGTATATATTCAAATTAGAGTTTGAAAAAAAATCTTCAAAGATTTTGATTTTTTTTAAAATTTTGATCAAAAAATCTTTGAAAATCACAAATAGTTGAGAATTTATTTAAAGAATATTAAATTTTTATAAAAAAAAATTGTGAGATTTCATCCTGAAAGATATTTAAAAATCACAAAATATTTAACCCTTTCGCGCCCAGCGAGATCATTTGTCATCAAAAATTTTATATTTAAAGAAACTAATGGTTGGTACTTAGAGATATTAATTTATAAAACAATATCTATTATTTCGAATTTTATCATTAACCTGTCAAAATCATTATTTTATTATATCAAAATGTCAAAATCATTATTTAATTATATCAAAGTACAAGTATTTTTTGTTCAGGGGAAATATTCCGGGCGCGAAAGGGTAGATTCAACCCGCTGATTCAAATATCACCATTTTCCGTTTTAAGAATTAATATAAATTAAAAAGTAAAATCATTACAAACTCAACAATGACTTCAAAATTATTTTATGGTATAAGTGGTCCATCGCTGTGTTCAAAAAAGAAATTAATAAATTATAATAAATATGTTCAAACATAATTTTTATTATATAATTTGCACATATAATTTGTATGCGAAATGGTAAGAGTAATAAAAAATATGTGGTACAATTAAATACAGTAAGTGATTTGCTAACCCAAATAATAGAATCGAATCACATTAAACATAATAACAAGTATTAAAAAAAATGATACATAAATGAAACTTTTATAATAAAAATATTAGCGATTCTTATCATTAATAAGTGATAAAACTTTCGTTGCGATTAGGCATAAATATTACACAACGACTATAGCATTGTAGGATAAGTTTTACCAGTATATTGAAAAAGACACTATTAATAGTAGGCTAATTTTAAAATTTCCACCTATAATTTATACAAATATAATTTTATAACTATTAACTATACTTAATGGATTTGCTGAATTTTTCTTAGTTACTTGCGATTTAGTAATTGACATATCTATAATATTTTAAATTTTTATCAAACTTTAAAAAAAAGTATTATATTAATGATTTGAAAATTATAAAATTAGTTGATATGATAATACCATTTCTCATTGGGGCGGTTGCACTTACATCTCTGGGGGAGCCAGTAGCTAACATCATATTTATATTTTCTAAAGCTTTTAAGAAATGATAATTTAACCTGTTTATTTTTATTTACTTCGATTTCTAGGTAAGGTACTGTCCAATATGTCTGTGATTGATAAAAATATATTAACATATATAATATATATGAAAATTTATTCTATATATTACAAAATCATATAATGAAATTTGTGCCGGGTGACTCTACATGCAGTAAATATATATTGTGAAATATAGTAATATCATGCTATTCAATGTTGCAGAAATTAACCAGTTGATAATTTACACGGGTGAAATTTTAATAACATAAACAAAGGATTCAACAAAGAATAATTAAGTAAAGTTCCATGTTACTCATAAACGAAATATTTCCCATATGATTTTGAATCAATAAAGCAGTTGTAACTAAATTGTTATTTGTCGTCATTTCCATTGTTGAATGATTTTTAATTAGATGATTATTAAAATCATTACTAAATGTCGTAATATTCATAAACAAGTCGCCAGAAGTACTTTGAGGGGAGGTTACAAATAAATCAACATTGGTTATTAATCTAGGAGCTAAAGTTTGACCTTTTACTATACCATCTTCAGTATTTGTTTCGTCGTTATGAATGATTCCTGATGTAGTTATTTCTACAATAGCCTTAGTAGTTTGATTTTGAAGTAATTCAAATGATGTATTCATTTTATTTACACCCAAATTTAACAATAAGCTTTTATCATGTGTGTTCATACTAATATTCGAGTAAATTTCTGGTAATGTATTAGGTGGTAGTGGGAAATAAGAATTTGAGAAGGGGCTCAACTTTTTGATACTTGCTGCAAATAATTTAAAGGAAAATTATTAATCATGTAATATTTTATAAAATATACTTTAACTATTTTAAATTGTTATATAAAATTTAGTAGTGTTGAATTATAGGTGATGTGATTTAAGCAGTGAAAAGGTGCCAATTATATTTCCAAAATAATTAGACATAAAACTACTTTTTTTTTCATAAATAGCTTGTGGAGTTATATACATATAAGAATTAGTTGACTTATTCATGCCACCTAATCCAGAAAAATAGAACAGAGCTCCTATATCAATTTTATTGTGTTTAGATGAGTGATTAAGTTTATAATATTCTTTATTAACTGGAGGATTGACTATTGAAAAAGTAACAATAATTGAATTTAAATTTGTCGAATTATTAAAAGTTGACTTTGTAAAGTTCCTATCTGATATATTTATTGGCGTTAGTTTATTGATATCATATTTGTATTTCATTTGATGTTGTCTATGATTATTTTCCAGCTTATTATATTTTTTTATGGATAGCGCTAGATACTGATCAGTATTTGATATATTATAGCTTAAATCGCTTGTTAAAATATTAGCTTTTTCAACATTACTATTTTTTGAATAATTATGATTAACATAATTAAAGGTATCTATAAAATTACGCCAATTGAAGCTATTTTTTGAAGATGAAAAACGGTCATTTTCAATATCTTAACATGCATATATTTTTTAAAAAATTGCAATTAAATGAAAATAATAATTTAGTAAATGACAAACAAACGATTAAAAAAATCAGCAATTAAAAGATATATAATTTTATCAAATTAATATTTTTATAATAATTATAAAATTTAACAGTAGGTGGGGGGGGGGGCAGGGACTCGAGCCCCGTTAAAAAATTGAAGAATTCCAAATTTAAATTTTTTTATACCATTATAAAAAGGTCATTTTGTATAATGTTATCTAAAAAAAAATAGATAATATTTAAAATAATTTTAAAAAAATTTTTTGAGCACCCTGAGATTGTAAAGGCTAGTGACGCCTTTGGAATTTAATGCTTTTTATTTTATAAATATATATTATATAAATCGGCAAATAAAATTTTATATACAGTAGCGTCAGTATGGAGATGGGCGCAGGGGCTTGAACCCCCTGAAAAATTTGAAGAGTCCCCTTAAAAATTTTGAATTTAAAAAAAAAGCCAATTTTAGTTAATGATGTTAGCTCTTATCAATTCTTTCTAATTTTTAATAAATATTTTATATAGAAATTTAAAATAAGGGTATCAAATGAAAGCTAATAAAAGGTGTATTGAATTCACTAATCGTCAATTCGTGTAGGATGGGGTGGAAGGCTAAAATATTTCTAACATAATATTTCGACATGGGACAGGCGCGTACGCAGGAATTTGGTCTGGGGGGGGATAATAAATTTTTTTAAGAAATATTATTGTTAATTAAAAATACTAAGCATAAATTTATTAGGACTAATATACATAATTTTAAACTAATGTGAATTAAAAAAATTATATATATAAACCGGCATGGAAAAACTATAAAATAAATGTGAATTATAACCCACGATATGAATCACTTAAATGACCCAAAATTGAAATTTGAATTTTTTGAGCTTTTAAAATATATAAAGTATGAAAAATTTAAATGTTGGAAATATAAATTAATACACAAAAAGTTTCTTAGGAATAATTGTATTTTGTGTGTTGAGCTAATTTTTCAATTATCTATCCTTGCTTGGCGTTAAATTCCTTTGAATATTCAAAAGATCCAAATCATTCAATCTACTTTCAGATGTTGTATTTCTTAGGTATGTTTTTCACAGACTTGCAAGGCCTGGCCCCCGAGCCGGACCGTATTTTAATTTTTTTAAATATACCCGGGCCGGGCCTGAAATTTTTTTTAGAAAAAATATCCGCCGAGCTATATATTTTAAAACCAAATATTTGAAATCGCCATTATTAGCTATAAAAATCAAAAATAAATATAATTTATTTTAATAAAATTATGGCCGGGCCTGATAATTTTATTTTCAAAAAAGCCGGGCCGGGCCTGAAAATTTTTTAAAAAAAAACCCGGGCCGGAAAAATTTTTTAAAAAGAATCTGGGCCGTGTCCTGCAAATGGTACCTCTGCAAGACTCTGTTATTCTCTCTTATTACTAAAGAGTGCTAATATATATAACCATTTTAATACATTGGGAGTATAATCTAAAATGTGTTTGAAAAAATGCAAAGCATCCATAGCATTTTTGGGACTGTATCAACCATAGTTAATCGTTTAATCATAGTTATTCCTAATAAGGCATCATAAGATATTTTAACATCTTCATGATAAAAATCTAACAAATATTTATATTTTTTTCTATCACCATATGAAAAAGGTTGGGAGAGGGGACATTTGTTTTATAATATTCTTCTACTGATCCTATATTAATGTTTTGACGATGAGCTTGCTTGCTGCAAGTCGAGGGGGGCAAATATTAAACACGTATAGCTCTGCCTTTGACTCAACAATAACATATAAAATATGAAATTCTTCATCAACATTAGCTCTAATTTCCTTGAGTTCTAATAAAATGCTCTCCGCTATTCTCATCTTCTTAATCAAGTAAATATTATGTTTTTGAAAAGTATTACATAAAATAGTGTATAATTAAATAACACATTCTAATGAGAAAAAAAATTTGGAATGAGTATTGAATCCAATAATTTTCTTGCTTCTGAGGAAATATTTCTTTCAAGCCATTGTGATATTTTAGTAATAGCATTAATAATCGGCTCTTCTAACTCCATAATAGCTGTTACTGCTTGATGGTGGAGACTCGATCTCGTTGGACAAGCTTGCAATTTCTTTCTCCCTGTTGGACAAGGAGTTTCAGAGATAATTATTAATTGACTAGAAATTTAGATAAATATTACGCCACTAAAATTTGGAAATAATAGGTAAATTACGCCAAGGAAAACTTGAAATCGAAATTTAATATTTTTGAAAAATATAATCCGGCATCTGCATTTTTTGGCTTGGGCGGGGGGGATTTGTCCCCCTGCCCCCCCCCCCGCTGCGTACGCCAATGACATAGGTAAAAAATGAAATATATAATAGGATCTGTTCGCATTGGTATACTCATCTCTAGTTCCAGATTAGACTGGGGGAGGGGATTAAAAATTTTAACATAATATATCGACCTGGTTCGCAAAATTAAAGGATTTTTCGACTTTTATTCATCCATCACGAAAATTACGTGCATGATAAGATTTTTAATAAAACTCCTATCCGGAAATAAAATATGAGCCTTAAATTAAGCTAATATAATTTTAAAATACAATTATAAATAACCCCTAAAAAAAATAAAAAATAATGAATTGAATTTATTTATATTTTACATGGATGTAGCCATAATAGTAAATAATAATAAAATTTGCAAAAGTAATATTTTCCTGGATTTAGTTTAGTATTATTTTAAAAAATTTCAAATACTGACATTTTTTGATAATATTTTTGAATAAAACTGAATCTAAGATTTTTTTAGAAAAGGTTTATATATTTCAAAGAAGTTTTATATGGGGAATTTTGTGTAAATGATTTAAATTAGCATTAAGTGTAATCAGTCGAATTTTATTTTTTTTATTATATCAAAACTAGAATTATATGCGAAAAACATAGCAATTGGGAAGAATTGAATAATTTATAATACTCTATGTGATTGCAAAAAATTGACAACTGCAGCACCCTCTTTAGACCAAAATTTAGAGGCGGGTTAATATTATTTAGTCGCATTCATAATGAGAGAGCCAAAAAGACTGGAATTGACGGAAAAATTTAAGCGCCAAATGAATGCCTATAGATTATTTTACCCTAGTTAAACATATAGTGAAGTCAAAAAGTGATATTCTGCAAACAAAATGTCTCAAGAATTCTTTAGAAGATATAGAAAAATGTTTTATCGAAACCCTGCCTTGTCTTAAATAAGGAGAAAGGCATAAAAATAGAAAATATGGGAAGTAAGCGCAGCTGGTATGACAAATATTTTATTTGAGATGTAGTAGGCGTTACAGGACATCTAGAGTGGTTATCTAACTCTTTAATGTAATCATCTATATAAGTCCATGATTAAGAAAATAACTAAAAAAAGATGTAATGCCAAATCGCTATAAAATAAATATGCGCTGAAAATATATTTATACGAAAATATAAATATTTTGAGCTTTTAAAATGTTCATAAATTTATAAGAATTACTAATTAGAAAAAATGGCCCAATTTTTAAATATAAAATGTTAAAAATGGATTATAAGAAACAAAAATAATGCATAAATATAAACTGACAAATACGAATGTGATTGACCTATTTTTTCAATGATTTTATCAGTAATTGTGTAAAATCCCTATGTAAATATCTAAAAGGCTAACCTAATCAATCTATTTTCTGAGGCTCACTTTGTGTATAAGTTTTTATTCTTTATAAATAATAAAATTCTGATTTGTGCAAGTGTAAATGGGGTAGAGTGGTAAAAATATATAATAATTTGATATATTATGAAAAAATACTTTTAGATTTCTCGGAACTGCTCTATGAATCAAGAGCTTCTCATTATTTTATTTCATTTCAAAAATTATCAAAAAGAGTGGTGTTATAAAAAATATCGATTTAGTCCCTTTTTAAAAATGGTTAATTTTAGCTACAAAATATTATATAAGTCTCTAGACTCCGTCAATTGAAGAAGTTGACACCCTCTTTTAGAAAAATCTCGAATCTTAAATAATATATTTTACAAATAAATCGTCTAAATCGAGATTTTTATCAACACCTGGAGGATATTCTTATACTGATCCTTCATTAAATTTTTAACAACAAGCTATCTTGGTGCTAGTCGAGGTATGCAACAATCAAACTGGTGTAGCCCTGATTTTGAGTTCAACAATAAAATAATTTGTGAAATTATTAACCAATATTTAATCCAATTTATTCAAGCTTTAAATAATACTAACAGTATCTCCATGGTGTCATGTCAACTAAATCAATATCATGAAATAGATTGATTATAGTACTAGCATAATTTAATACATATTTTGTTGTTATCTATTTCAAAAAGATTGGGTTCTCAGAAGTCATTTTAGACCATTCTGACATTTCACAAAGAGCAATTGGTTCCTCTAACTTCATAGAAATAGTGTTTACTTGATGACTGCCATTTTTTAAATTTGCATTTTTAGCTCAGGTGTGATTTATCTTCCATACCTTCCCTTCCCACTGCCCGCGCCTGCTTTTAGTATTAATTAACACAGGTACAAGATATATATATGCTAAGGGTTTCTAAATTCTGTAACAAATGATCCATTCCTGTCATTCGCAAATTCACGGTTATTCGACAATAATAGCAACATTAAATAATATGTAATAGAATGACCGTAATATGCATTTTTGCATGCAAACTAAAGATATAATTATATTTTAAATTAATAATAGACCAATCTTTTCTTATTATTTTTGAGAGTTTCAGAAATTACGGCCAAGTTTTTAATTTTTTAAAAAGAGTTTGAAAATTGAATACTTATTGGTTAATTCATATTTTAAAAAATACCCCCAATAGAAATAGGAAGTTGATTTTTTTGGTATTCATCGCAGTCATTTTCAAAGAAATTTAATTTAAAAGATGGCCCCCAATTTAAAGCGAGAAATATTATTAGCTCGTTCAGTCATTTTAATCCCAAACTTTTCATTTAAACATTGGCCCAATTTTGGAAGCGAGGTATAAATATTTTAGCTTTCAAATTAATCGCATTCTGTTTAATCCGAGTTATTTTCAATATATTTTCATAGAAAAAATGGGCACAAATATTTTTGAAGCGAGAAATGAATATTATTAAATGTCAGATTAATTGCAGTATTTTTAATTCCTATCCTTATGATTGAATTTCAAATATTATGGCCCCAATTTTTTTTTTGATCATTTAATAGCAGTCATCTTAAAAATTATTTTCAAACATCGATTATTATAGAAAAAAATAGCCAACCAATGTTTATGAAACATTAACATTATTACCATCCATATTAATTAATCAGTAAATTTAATAGCATATATTTTCAAGATCAATTATCAAATAAAATATGACCGTCAATGCTTTTAAAAGGAGAAAACTATGAAGCCATCATTCTATAACCTAGTCATTTTATAACGGTTGCAATACAGTAGTGTCTACATGGCCGGGGTGGGTAGGAGCTCCAAAATATGTTGGCATTTGGGGGTGGGTAGGTATAGATTTTTGAGGGTAGATATTTTTTGAGGGGGTAGATATTTTTTGAGGGGGTAGATATTAATTTTTGGGGGTATTAATTTTTGGGGGGTATTGACTTGAATTATATTCTTTTTAAATCAATAATTGATACGATTTACTATAGAATCGTGGTTTGGCGAATATCGCGGCCGAAGGCCACGGTTTTAGGGGGTAGGGGTAGATTTTGTAGGAGAGTTTGCCTCCATCAAATTTTCTGCCGTGTAGACGCTGGCAATACATGTGATCAGGGGCATAGCCTAGCTAGGTGCTTTGAGTTCTGCATTAACACTAATTTTGAAAAATAGATTAACACCATTTTTTTTAAATTAAAATAATTAAATAATAATCCTACGAGATTCTAGTTATGTTAAATACTATCAAGTCAACATATAGCAATAATAGGCAATCTGATTAAACAGCACACCAATTAATTTTAGAGCAATAAAATTCCTTTTTTTATATAAGTGGTGGAAGAACACGGTGGCCTCCGATCTATTATATACAAGATGAGTAAATTTTCAAAAAAATGTTTTAGAATATAAATAAAAATACACAAGAAGAAAGTATTTAAATATGAATACAAATATATGTTTTAAATATAAATATTAAATACCTACAAAATATTTCATAAAATGTATTCTAATATTAATACTTTGACGTAAATTTTGCACAAATAAATACTTTGGCGAATACTTTTTCAAGTCAGTTTAATAGATCACTATAAAATTATTTTTAGCTTAAATAATATTTTTATTAATGACCATTTTCAAAATTCTAATAATTATGTAATTCATCTTATCGAAAATGTTCCATTTGAGATAGAAAAATATATTAATAATTTTGGTATATTGGAGACTACATCCAAAAAAACCAGTTTAATTCAACTAAATTGATTAACAATATCGCCAATATTTTTCATGGCTGTTAAAGTCTTTGTCAATTGATATAATTCGGCAAATACTTTTTTATGATGGATAGCGGTAGCGCGCAACTTTTTTTGACAAATAACGATAACGGTCGGATTAATTAAACAGGCTTAAAAATTTACTCAATCTTTCTATTCAAGGTCCAAAGATTTTACAAATTAAAATTTTAATTGAAATGAGAGTATATTTATCCTTTTCAGTATTAAATACAAAATCCAATAATATAGGTGTAAAATGACTTGAATAAAAAATAATGTTGGATAATGACAAAACATATTATGTACTAATGATAGAATTTCATACAAAAACAATCGATAGAATAAACCAAAAAGGAAGTTAATATAAAATGAATTAGCCATATCTACAATGAAGCAGATAGTTGCCCTAACTATAATAATAGCCAACAAATTTATTCTTTTTTGGTTATCTGGTCAAACAACCCTATGATTAAAATAAACCAGATTGTTATTAATTATAAATTAAATAATTAAATTCTCCTTGTTGGGCTATGTTATTTTAAACTAAATGTAAATTTTTATGTGCCAAACTACAACATTTAGCTGGGTCATAGAGCTAAGGAGATAACATGATGACGCTTTCCCCTCCTACGGAAATTTGCCTGATTTCGTAAATATCATTTTAAGCAGCCCATCCCCTCCCCCCTCTCAAAAAACGATATATATATATAAAATTATATCGTTTCAAAAATAGAAGAAATATAAGTATATATTTTTTAAAATTATTTAAAAATTTTAATGTAACAAAGCCAAAGACCTATAATAAATTAGAAAATCACTATATGTTGACTTGACATTAACTAACATTAACCAATAATTTGTTTAAAATGATATATTGGGGATTTAGGATTTAAATCAAATATATCATTTTAATATAAAAATTTTCTAAAAGTTTATTTAAATAATCGACAATATAATCATCATCGGTTCCAAAATTATTTGTATTTGAAAAGGGTAAATTTCTTGCAGCGTAAACTCTCCAAAGTCTTCTGTCAATCTGCTCACATAAATAATTAATATGAAAATGACAAGATATGACATTATTTGAATTATAAAAAATGTTCAAAATTTTTAATAAAATTTGTTTATTTTTTAACGAACATTTTTTTAAAAAAAATGGAGTATACGATCCATTTCCAATATATATTAAGACTTAAGAGATAAGATCACGCTATAGCTTCCAATCAACTATTTATTATACTTGTAGTATTCACCTGCTTCGATTTGATCTTTGATGGATTCGAATCTTCTTAAAATATATCTTCTTAAAGAAATAAAAAAGGTACGAGTAACAAACGCATTTCTTATAAATAATTAATTTTTAAATTGGCTAGAAAAAATAAAAAAATTTGCAACCCTTCCAAAATCAAGGGGACAAAATTACCATCCCAAATAAGCCTTTCCATAATTTATTTAAAAAAACACGCCTGTTATAACAATTGGATGATTAAAATTTAGAAAATAGTTTTATTGAGAAATTTATGTAAATAGATTTCCCCAGAACGTGGCTAAGCTTGTGACCTTATTTCAAATAAAAGTATCTCCCATTTTATAATATAGTATAATTTTTTTATCGATTTAACCCTTTGGAAAATTTAATCTTATAACTTTTATTCAATTAATTACAAAAAAAATTTGTAATTCATAAACTTTTATAAAATTACATTCAAATATGTCAGTTTAGCTCATATAATGTAATTACTTGTGACTTCAATAGTTCTTATCCATTCCTTAGGCTGCTGTCTAAACATAGTAGCTCTACAAACTAGCTTTGCACCATGTAAATTTGTCAATCCAATTAATTTAATTTTCAACACTGATGTTGAAGTACCAGTTAAAGGATCAGTAAGAGTTAAATTCAATGGTATATTTTCCCTGTATTATTAATATTATAATATATGATAATATTTGCCAACATTAAAAAAAACTAAGTTACTTTTGAGCGGGGTTATCATTTATTAACCACATAAGTTTAGCTGGGGGACTTGAATTGCTTGATTGGCAAGTATATATAGCAGTTTCACCAATCATTAAAGGCTTAAAATCTTCAATAACCTTTAATCCATCTTTTTCATCAGGAGGATCTATATTAATCCATATTTAATCATATTCATTTTAAAGAAATATAAAAAAATTGTTAAACATATCTGTCGCAGTTGTTCAATAAAATATTGCGAAGAATAATATTTTTTATTTTAATGAACGTCAATCAATATATTAATGTGTTATTTTAATTTATTTTTTTATAAAATATGGATTATATTTTTCAAGGATTTGAATTGAAAAATAAAAATATTATCTGGAAGAAGATTTTGTGTTTGAAAGTTAGTTGTGGTTTTTAGGGGTTTGTGTAGTGTTGCACGTGACCAGGATGTCGAATTCTGGTAGATACGGTACTTAAATAAACAGGTAAGTAAATATTTCACATACATTTTAATTTTATTTTTTTATTTAATGGTAAATTATAACACAATGTAACTGGTTGAAGCCTGAATTTTATTTTGAATAAGGATTTTTGTAGGATCATTATATAGAAATTATTAATGTTTTTGAAGTAATGATAAAATTGATAAACAATTTTTTAGCCCTATTTAAAAGGGAAAAATGAAAATATTTATTTTTGGAATAAGAATTTTTGGATGATTTTATATTAATTATTACTATTTTAAAGTAATAATAAAGTAAGTAAACAAATTTTTATAGTCTATTTAAAAGGGAAAAAGGGAACATGTTTTTTTAATGTTACTTTTTAACCTTAAAAAAATAATTTGGTGGAAATCTGGAAATGCTAAGAGTTGAATTCATATAATATACATCAATTTGGTAACTTAGAAGGTTGAGCGACAGGACTTTTATATTAATTTGGAAATGAACATAATATTTTTGATTTATAAAGAGTTTTTGGTCATAAAGTTTGGGATATAATCAGGGTTTCGAACCGTTTAGTATAACGGTTCGGTTCGTTCCGGTTTTTAGTTTAAAATTTTATAAAGGTTTTGTTCCATTTCGGTTTTTAAAAAAAAAATCATATCGGTTCGGTTTATAATTTATAACGGTTCTTTTCGGTTTGTTCCGGTTTTTATAAATTTAATTTTAAAAAAAATTAATCATTAACCATGTATATATTAATTTTAGAGAAAAATCTTTTTAGTTTATAATTTCTTATTTAATTTATCCATGATAATCTAATAGATATTTTTATTAAATTTAGGAAATATAAATTAGACAAATTAGTTTTTTTTATTTCATAAATAAATAAGATAAAAACAAACATGCGTAAATACAATAATCAATAAAATAATATGTATACTATACTATTTAGGTTTAAAAAGAGAATTCGAACGGATAACTAAAATTTTCTAATATTTCAGGATATAATTTAGTTCTCTGCGTAGAGAGTATAAACTTAAGGCTTGAAAATGCTCTTTCTACGGAGACCTGCGTAGCTGGAACTGCTAGCACAGTTATAGCTAACTTATAAAGTTCTGGCATACTATTCTTTACATTTTCCCAATAATTCAAAAGATTAGTATCTTTTTCTAATCTCTCTTTATTATCAAATGACCGAATTATATATTCTATTTCTATACATTTATTATAATTTTCGATACCCTGAGAATTATTCTTATTAAGACTTTCATGCGACTTTAATAAATCTTCAAAATCATCATCTAAATTATCCTTCGAATACGAACACGTAGGCATAGTATTTAGAATTTCAATATTCTGATTATTTATTCCAATTTTTACAAAGATGTTTTCTGGGATCTCTCTTTCTTCAAAAGTTAAAAATACATTATATCTAGGGTCGAGATAAATAGCAGAGCAAAAAACTTCATTTTTAAAATTTATTTCTCATGCTTTCATCGTAGAAACTAAAAGTTTGGCAAATGGAGTGTCTACTTTACTCGTTTGCATGAGACATTTGATCCACGCAGCATAAAAATCGCCCATTGTCAATTGTTCACTTTGTAAATATTTTGTCAAAACATAAGCTGGATATAAAGCTTTTAATATGTCACTAATTATTTCCCATTCATTCTCTGATAAACATTTTTGATCGCTTTGGAGCGATATTTCTTAGCAAAAGCTTTTTAACTCTAGTAATCTCTCCAACATTAAATAGATAGAGTTCCATCTTGTGCAACAATCTATTAGTGGTTTTTTCAAATTTAATTTTGAGAGAATAGCCATTGTTGTCTGATTTCTTATTTTTTTGCAGATGTTTCTTGCTTTATTTATAATGACAATTTCATTTGAATTTTTAATGCAATCATTAATTGCTAATTGAAATGTATGTGAAGCACATCTAACACCTATTAATATGGGTCTGGCATTTGATGCAAGATTAATATTTTCAATATTAAAAGGTTCTTTATTTTCATCATGAATTATATCATTATTATTTAAATCATCATTATCTATATCATTATTATTTAAATCATCATTAATTAAATAATCGTTAAGGTCATCATCTTCATCATCTTCTTCATCGTGTAGTATTAATATCTTAATTAACTTAATCATATTTGCTGCATTATCGGTGGTTATTGTGTAAATCTGCTCAATTTTTATTTCATATTCTTTTAAAACATCTAGAATAGTTTTTTTAAGATATTCTGATGTGTGTCGTTCTTTAATCACTTTCATGCATAGAGTCCTTAATTTTATTTTTCCGTTATTTATAAATTAAATATTGATCCCCAATATGGACCTATCATATCTAGTTGCTATATCTAATTTTAACGAAATAAGTTTTTGATACACTTCCTTTTTTATATTTTCCGAAAAATCTAACGCCATTTTTTTAATATTATTGCGTATATTTTCCGAATTGATAGTTAAATTTCCACCCAATCCTATAATTATTGGATCTATAATATTTCGAAATGCTTTGTCGTCAATTTGGCCTACCATGAACTGTTATTAGCTCGGTGCAGGAGCGGATTAAAGTTTCTTTATTTATATTGATTTGTATTGTAGTAGTGTTGGACTTAAAAGCATCTTGGATTGTATTATACTGGTTTGCAGTTTTCGTTATTTGAATTTTTTTAATAGTCAAATTTTCTTTCTTTTTTCTTAATAATTTGAATTCCCTATTGTGGAATCTTTCTATATGTCGTTCAAGATTTGCAGCATGGTCTCCAGTTAAGATCTTACCACAATCTTCTATTTTACAAATAGATTGATTTTTTATGATATCTAATTTAAAAAGGAACGCAAAGGATTTGACTTTTCCCGAACCATTTAATAGATAACTAAAAAGCTATATGATAATAGATGAAAATCTTTTATTATATAAATAGAATAAATAAAAAGCTTAATAGAAACAATTTTACCTTCATTTTTATTTTTTTAAATAACTTGGATTATAGAATTTAAATGACAATAAATAAAATGGTCAGCAATAAATATTTTAATGATATAATAATTTTTTATTTAGAAAAATCATATTTTTTTTTAAATTCAAAATTCTAATATTTATTATTAAAATAATATGTTAGTTAGCATTTACCATTATCATATATGCAAAATAAAAAAAAATATGATTAAAGAATGGCATTTGTAATGAATATTTTTCTAAATCTGTATTTTTAAATAATAAAAATCTTACTATAAATCTTCAGTTTAAATAAGTTAACTAACATTGCATTAAATTATTTTATACTTTTATTTATTTGTGTTTTATATTAAATAGACTTACATTTAAAAATAGGAATTACATTTTGATGTTAAACTAAATATAACTAGTATAGTTTAATTCAAATTACCCACTCTGATATATTCTATATAAACTAAGATAAACTTTTTTTGAATATATCAATTAATAAGAAATTATTGTAAAACAATATTATATAAAAATTGGTCAGTACTTTATTTCTGTTAGATGTTAATATAATATGACAGAATAGATAATTTAAGTTAAACTATAGTATTTATATTTAGTTTAACATCAAAATGTAATTCCTATTTTTAATTCACTGTAAGTTTATTTAAATATAAAACACATTAATAAATAAATAAAAGTATAAAAATAATTTAATGCAATGTTAATTAACTTATTTAAACGATTTATAGTAAGATTTTTATTATTTAAAAATACAGATTTAGAAAAATATTCATTACAAATGCCATTCTTTAATCATATTTTTTTATTTTGCATATATGTTAATGGTAAATGCTAACTAACATATTATAATAATAAATAATTTATAATATTAGAATTCTGAATTTAAAAAAACAATGATTATAAATAAAAAATTATTATATCATTAAAATATTGCTGACTATTTTATTTATTGTCATTTAAATTCTATGATCCAAGTTTTTATAATGAGATAAAAAATTTAATTTAGCCAAGAATAATTATGTCTGATTTTAAGATATCTTATCTAATTAACAGATAAATTGTCTAATCTCTTATAAATTAAGTATTTAAAGAAAAAACAACAAACCTGGTATTATTTGATATATAATGTTGATAATATAAAAATATTTAATTTGATATATAATGTTGATAATATAAAAATATTTAATTTGATATATAATGTTGATAATATGGAAATATTTAATTTGAAAAGAAATCACCAATTTAAAAAATGCCCCCAAGGAAAATTAAAATTTTAAATTTAGGTTAATAATTTAAAATTAATTATTTTTAAAACCGTTTTGAACCGGTTAAAATATTTATAACGGTTCGGTTCGCTCTTTTAATATTTTCTTCATAACGGTTCGGTTAAGGTTACGGTTCAGAAAATCATAACGGTTCGGTTAAGGTTACGGTTCAGAAAATCATAACGGTTCATTCCGGTTTTGCGGTTCGGTTCGGTTCGGTTCGAACCCCTGGATATAATTGATTGTGTATTTACGATATTATTTGGAGTAATATATGTGTTATTCATTATATGTAAAATTCTGATAAAGAAATTTACCGAGGAAGTGACCAAGGTATATAGTAATTGGAAGAAAGACAATGTGGTGTCGGATAATCTGTGCGATATTATGGAATATGGGGAGGGGTTTGTTTGTTTTTTTTTTCTTTTACAATTTATTAAATATTTCTGTCTAATTTTGGCAGGTTTTTATTTTAAGGATTTGTTAATCATATATTTTAATTAAAGAGATCAGGAGGAGAAGAGTTCAGTAACATATGTATTTTTTATTTTTAACAAAGTTCATTGAGCTGAAAATTTATTTATTTTTTTCCCTCCCGGCAAAAGAAAAAGAAAACAAATTTCGTTAGGTACTTAATTATTTGATTAATTCTCGGGAGAAGGAATAATTGAATAAGGGAATGCACATGTTCGGTAATTTTTTTTAAAAAATAAATTAGTTAAAAGTTTTATCTTTGTGGGTAAATGTCGTGGTTGGAATTTAACTACTCTTCAATTAAAATAAGAAAAGAAACGCTTATCGGGTGATGTATATCATATTAATAAAGTTCACCAAAATTAAACAATTTATCAGGCCTGACTTGGTTCAATAATTGATTAATGTAAAATTAACTTAGCCTGGTACAATTTATTTCAATTTTTTTAATATCCAAGTACAGTTTATAGAATTTCCTTTATATTTGTTTATTTTCTTTGAATGGACATTATTAATAATCATTCACTAATTCACCACAAAATCATTTTAAAGCAAAATTATACTTTAACAACAGAAAATTTAACCTTGTGATGTTATATAACCCGGCCCCGCCATACATATAAGATGTCTTTAAATAATATTGATATTCACTTCGACATAGTAATTGCATTATTGATGATAATATTGTTTTTGTTAAAGAAAAATTTAGAGATGCAAGAGAGTGAATCATTTTTTTTAAGAACAAAAATGTAATTATTTTGCCATTCAATTGTTTAAATTTTAAATAGGTTTTGGGAAATTATTTATTTATTCGACCAATACCAGGGGCGATAAAAACAAGTCAAAAGTCGATACAATTCAAAGGTGCTATTCTATAAATGATAAAGAAAAGACCAATGCCAAAACTACGATAATGGATAAATATGAAGATCGATAACTTCCAAATTCATAGAGTAGATGGACACTGGGCTTATGAGGGGTGGGTGTGTAGCAGTTATTCAATAAAATACTGCAAAGAATAATACTTTTTTTAATTAACGTCCATCAATATATTTTTGTGTTATTTTAATTTATTTTTTATATAAAATGTGGATTATTATATGTATTATTCTTGGATTTGAATTGAAAAATAAAAATGTTATCTGGAAGAAGATTTTGTGTTTGACAAGTTAGTTATGTTTTTTTGGGGGGGGGGGGGGATTGTATAATATTCAATTCTAAAAATTTTTTTTAAATTCATTAATTAATATTAATTTTATAAAAAAATAACATAAGCTATTTTTAATGTAAAAATAAAATAGTGTTTTAAATCATTTTTCGTCATTTACAAAAAAATTTTTGAAATTAATAAATTTGAATAAAAAAATTTTCAAAATTTATTTATTGGGTAATTTTATAAACTAGTAATATAATATGTTTTATTAAAATAATTTATGTTTTTTTTGTTAGTTATATTTTTTTGGTTTTTTTTCCATTTTTTTGATAAAAAAAATAATGGAAGATTTCGGGCATGTTTCATAATTTTATTAATTTGCAAAAATTTATAAAATAGTGAGGTTTCTTTTAAAACATTTTGGACACAACTTTAATATTACTTACTAGTTTTTTTCATATTAATTACCCAAAAAATTAATTTTGAGTAAATTTTTATTTAAATTTATTAATTTTTTTTTTATTTTTAAAATTTTTTTGTTAATGATGAAAAATGATTTAGAACACTATTTTATTTTTACATTAAAAATAGCTTATGTTATATATTTCTTCAAAATTTATTTATTTGTATCTATTAGATTTTGAACACAGCCTAATCAAAAAGCCAATTCCTAGGGAAATTGCCGCCCCCCCCCCTCAGAGATTGGACTCAGAAAAATTGATGCCCGCAAAATTGACCCTCAAAAATATAAATAATAAAATCTGTTTTCTTAAAAAATTTAAGCTTATATTATTCGAAATATGGAATCTACAAAAACGAATAATTAAAAAGTTTTTATAAAAGATGTTTTATTAGCTATTATGTGGGGATTCTCGAAATAAAGTGTCAATTTTCAGAAAAATATATTTTGAATAATACAAAAAGTGCAAAAAAAAATTATTTTTAAAAAAAATCTAGGTGAGTCTAAATTTTAAAAAATTTAAAAACCAGTTAAAAAATGAATCCAACCCCCCCCCCCCCTTTTCCTCCCCTCCTCCCAGGAAAATCAAATATTTGCAAAACTTGTTGACTGAAGATAATTAAAATTATGTTATAATATTTATATTTAAAGTAATTGAAAAAATTGCAGTTCGTTTTATCCTATCATATAATGACCCTACTGATCCTATCTGAGAAATGGCTTAAAAGAATTTCGCGAAATTCTAAATCTAAGCCTCATCCATAATTCATTATCATTTGCAAAATTTATCGATTGAAGATAATTAAAATTATATTTATAATACTCTCTATTTTTAAAGTGATTGGAAATATTTAGAACCAGGAAATAAACATTTTTTTAAGTAATCTCTATTCATAGTAATGAATTAGATAAAAAAAAAACTTTCATTGGGGTTTTGAAATAATATACCACATTAACAGAAAAAAGCGAAATGTATAACTACCTTACTTTTTTGAGTAACATCGATAGCTCCAAATTGAGAAGTATTTGGAGATGAAAATTGCTATTTATTAAATTTTCTGGAAAAAATTAGTTATGTGTCCTGCAAGCCCATTACAAGTCCCAGTTTGGTCGGGTAAATTTAATTTATATCAATAGATTTATTGAAAACCTATATAATAGATTCATTGGTAATCAAATTGATAGTATAGTATTCAATTACTATATTTTCAATTTTTCTAACTTATAAAATACAATCCAATATATTTTTAAAGAAATAGATGATCAGTCAACCTAAAGGACGATAATGGCTTGTTGCCGCAAACATTTTCTTTAACTGTCTTAATTTATCACTACATGTTCTCTTTATAACCATCAGCTTCAACTTATTTCGTCCTGATATTTGCCTAATTTTTTAATTATTTGCGAATAAATTTTTTTATGAAAGTTACTCAGACTAAATAAAAATTCTAAATGATAAATTAATCTCGATTTTATCATGTTTAAAAATATTTACAAAATTTATGGCATTTAATATCATGAAAGTAGTTGGATTTTCATTTTTGTATATTTTTTAACAAATCTAAAAATAAAGGAGCGCTATAAAACGAACCGTGAAATGCTAAAAGTGCCCAGGGTGTTTTTCTAAATTCTCAAATTTTTATTTTTTAAATTTTATATAAATAAAAAACGAAAAGATTTTTACCGTAAATAATTACTACCGAAGAGATATGTTAAATTTTGAAAAATTTGCTTCATTTATCTTTTTTATAGCACTTCAATTTTTTGTGAATAATATAATCCCGGTGGTCTCCCCAATTATTCCATCCATGTTTTTATCCTGCCCTAACCTAGATAAAATTAAACATGCCCTCGTGAAGTAAAGGAAATTAGAACTATTAATTTCAAACTTTCTAAAAGTTTTCTAACTGGTTTATTATTATTTTTTGTCAGAAACTAAAAGATGTTATTCAAATTTATATAAATAATTTTTTGATAATAATGACATAAATTATTATAAAACATTTATAATCTTAAATAATAACTTAAGGATCATTAGTTTAAAAATATTTTTTCTAGCAATTATCAATATAAAATTCCGTTTATTAATTTACTGAACTTATTAATACCGATTATAGAATATTAATAAGGTGTTACAAACATTCTATATATCTCATGTCTATGAAAAAAAATATAACTATAATAATATAGTATAAAAAGAATTCGTTTAGAATCTGTCAGTGAGTTAATTAGTTATTATCTTTATAAGAATGATTTTAAAAAAATACCGTAAACTTCCAAAAATTTTTCTTTGGTTATGGTTTCATCTCCTATTACTGTGCAACGATAAATTCCTTGATCTTCCCTTTTCAATGGTGATATAAAGAAGGAAGTATTTGTGGTTTTGTCTTGAAAATTTAAACGATCGTTCCATTTATGGTTTACCTTTTATAATATATTAAAAATAATTGTGTCTTAAGAGAGGAACTGTGATTTTATGCTTAGGCTTTAGAAATAATATAAATAATAATCTAAATAGAGTGTTTCAGGGAGTTATTTTTGTAAAAAGTAAAAAGTGGATAATGGATTTTAAGCTTAAGAAAGATTTTGATCACAATCAAAAATTGAAACACAAAGAAATTTGCATAATAAACACATTAAAAAATAAAACGATAAGCGATAAATTTAATATTTAATTGTTGAAGGAACTTAAATAATTTTATGCGAGTAATGAGAAAATGAATTTAACCTTATTTTAATATTAAAATTTTCGAAACCAGAAATTCAAAAGAGTAAAAGCGAAAAAACTTTATAGGCGCGAACATTATATCTAAATATGCCTAAATATATGAACACTAATAAAGAATCAAAAATTTGATAAACCCCTAAAATTTATTAACATTTAGGATATTTAATTAACAAAATTCATTACAATTTTGATATATGATAAATCATAATTTTAAATAAAGGTCTGTTATATTTTAATATTAGAAACCATAAAATTGACAATTATTTTTATGCGTGATCAGAAATATTTTTTTTATATTTAAACAAATTATATAATAATCGATATCCAAATATCACTTGAACTCCATGGGTCCATGGGTCATACGATAAAAGTGGTGTTCCCAGATCTGAAGGATCGGCCGAAAAAAACCATTCCAGTCCTATAATTGAATCACCTTTATCAGTATAGTTACAATAAAACCATGCTTCTCCGCCTAATAGCCCAAATTCAGATATATCCATATGTACATCTTGACTGATTACCCCTTTTAAAATGTTGAATATTTTTACAATAAATATACAACAATTTATATTATAAAGTTAGGTTAACACGTGTAAAAAAAATGACATGAAGAATTACAAGTAACACTAGATAACCTATGATTTTTTATTTCTAATAATTTTATAAAATATTAAGAAATGAAATACTTTGGTTTGATTTTTTAAAAATTTAAAATGCAGAATGAATATTTATGAAGTTGGGTGGTAGTTTCAGAGATAGAATTAAGATAAATTTTTAATCGATTATTATATAATTTCATAGGCGTAGCCAGTTTTGGGGACAAGGGGAAATCCCCCCCCCTTCAGAAATTTATCACTTTTTGTGAATATCATTTTAAACTAATAAAAAATATCCCCCTTAATCCTCCCCCCACTCCCTGACCCCCAAAAATATATGCATATATCTTAAACAATAATTTGAAAGAAAGAATGTAAAATTGATATTTTTTTAAACTAAAACTATTCATCATAATTTATATATTTTTGGAAAAAAGTATATATAAAAAAAGTGAACCAAAAATGTTTTTAAAGAAATGGAATATAAGCCAAAGATAAGTCTTAAGACTAAAGTGAAATGTATTATAATTATAATAATAGATCCATAAAATTACTAAATAATATAATATATCAAATATAATTTTTTATAAAGTGAGTAATTTTAATTTATTTATCTTAATAAAAGTAAAATATAATTATAAAACTATTGATAAAATTAAATCATAAATTAAATTAAAAAATTAAAGCACAATACAAACAGTACAATATAATATGTCGTAGATTTATATTATATCTAATTTTATCAATTATCATATGACAATCAAATAATTTTTCCAATATAGCGAATTATATATTTTACATAAAACTATAGAATGTTGATAAGGACATCAAGAAATATCTTTTAAAGACATTATCATTATCATTATCATTATTTAATTTAATAAAATTAAATAAAATAGATGGCGTTAAATAACTGAGTGCAAATTATTGCTATATTTATTATCAAGAGCATTGATTAGTAAAATTTGTTAAAATATTAACTGAAATATATTTTCTAACTGTCAAATATGTCTGTAAAAGTGGAGTTTTACCTAATATTTTGTCAATTCGATATAATAGAGGAATATCAAATATATGTCTACTTACTTCTTATAAATAAATTTCTTATACTTGTTTGGAATAAATTATTGGAATGCTTTTATATTAATGTATATGCAAGTAATTTATTATATTTTATATAAACTAATAAAAGTATATTTCATATTTGTTCCAGGCTTATTTTTTTATTAAAACTAACCTATCTTGTAAAAATATTTTATGACTATATATATAGAATATGGTAACACGGCCGAAGCAGGCCGAAGTCCCGCCCAAATGGGGTCTGAGGGCGAAGTCCCCAGTAATTTTTTAATCCCCCTCCCTTAGGAAAATCCTGGCTACGCCTATGTATAATTTTTTCAAGCTAATAGATCCGAATAACTTTAAATTTTGACGCAAATAATTTCTTCTAATTCAAGCGGGATAATTATGTATAATTCAAGAATTATCAAAAATGAGAAGAAAAAAATTAAGAAAAGATCAAAAAATAGAGATTGAAAATGAGTTAAAGAGATTGAAAAGGCTAATGTATCTAAAAGTTTACAATATAAGGAGAAAAAATCATAAAAAAAGAATATCGTATGTATGATGAAAAAAAGTACTTGTTTAAAAAAATGGAGCAGATATGTGAAGAAAAATAACGAAAAATTTATAAATTATTTTTAAAAAGAGAAAAGAATTATCAAAAATGAAAAGAAAAATATTGGGAAAAATAAACTAAGAAATAGCAAAAAGTTAGAAATAAAAAAAGAAGGAATAAGAAAAATAAATAAAAATTTAAGACATAAAAAAAAATTTATAATTTATTTTAAAAAAATTTAAAAAATTACTATTTTCCTTTTTTTGAATGGGAATTTTCCTTTTTGATTGACACTTTTACTTATCTTTTGGGAATTTTCCTTTTTTGATTGACACTTTTTCTTTTTTGTTTGACACTTTTTCTTTTTTGATCGAACTTTTCCCTAAACCTTTGGGACTTTTCCTTTTTTGATTGACACGTTTTGATTGAACCTTTTCCATTTATGATTGACACTTTTCCTTTTTTTGATCGGACCTTTTCCTTTTATAATTAAAACTTTTCCTTTTTTGATTAGAACTTTTCCTTTTTTGAATGAGAAACCCTGTAATAGTAACTCCAACCAATAATCAATTCTTAATAAGTATCTATGAGATTAACCAGAGTTGGGCATATTGCTTAATGAAAGTTAGCAGTTACCATTATGAAATATAACAGCTAAGTTTCATTGTCACTTCAAAAAAAACTAATGATTATGTAATCTTTATTTAGAACATGAAACAGTTGCAAAAAAGCTCTTAGTTGCATAATAAAAATAAGAATAAATTAAAATGGAAAACTGCTATAAAGAATATTATTGATTCCTTTTTCTGTAAAATCTATAATTAATAAAAAGCAGTATAATAAAGAAACAATAAATAATTATTAATATTTTATAGTCTATCTAATTTAATAAAAATTACAGATTATCAATTTAAATTCATTCGACAAAGGACTAATTTTTCAAATAAAACGACCGCATACATTAATTTATTTTTTACCAACATATTAATATAGTAAAGAACATCTAGTAAATTTAAAATTATAAAAAATAGACTGAGGGCACGAGTAATTGGAGGCATTTTTTTGATGCCCGTTGAAAAAGAAGAGAATTGTTGATGCAAATGAAACTTGTTATTTACTATAAAGAATGCAAGATTTATTAGCTTAAAAAATATATAATATTCGTTTAATTCATTATTTAAATTCTATTTAGGAAATTATATTTGCAATGGCTGATTTTTATATGTATTCTTAAAATAAAATATGGGATTATCATTTCATATGAGTCTTTTTCAATTAAAATGTGAAACTGAAATATTGTGTTTAACCCATCGTTTTAAACATTTTTGTTTAAAAATATAAGAAGTAAAAAAAACACTTGAGGCTGCTAGAAAACATTTGCCCACGAGGCCGCAAGATCTCAGTTCACCCCCCCCCCCCGATGACATATTTATAATATGAAGTTCAAAATCAATCTTGAACTTAACCTTTGGTACCTGGACTACGGATCCCTATGTGACCCAGAGATTAATGTGTTGGAGGCCATCAATTTCTTAATTGATGAATTCTAAACTATAAGCCTTGTTTTAAATATGGATAAAAAAGAAATTAGTTTTTAAAAAGATCCCGATCAGAATGTTTTAATTGCTTTAAGGTATTGACAGGGAATCAATCTCTCTTTTAGGATCCTCGTCAAATAGTCTATCCCCAGTAGAAATTCTAGACTTTGCACTAAATTGGAAGCAATATATAATATTCCCGCCCATCATTTATATTTAATAAGGACTTCCCAAAATTTTACATCTTTTTGGGCCTCATCTACACTTTTAAAATTTTCCTTCTTTTCAGCCTTGGACATGAAAATTAAAAACTTGCTTGAGGTTATCTTAAACATTCATTTTCCCTGGGTTATTGCACAACTTCCGACCAAGAAATGTGGTTTTGGGTTCCTCCCTCTTAATTTAATTTCTTTATCAGCCTTCCTTTCTTTTCATCTTCAATGCGAGGAGGTTACAAGTAAGCTTGTAAGGGGTAGAGATGTTCATTTGAAACTGCCAGTTACTTATATAAGAAAAATTTATACCTTATCTCTTTCACAGTCCTCGGCACAAAATGGCTTTCTTAACCCCCCTCTGACTAACTTTAATAAATTGAAGGGAATTAACCCCTCCCTTGATAAAACTCCAATCCTTAAATACTTTAGGTCTATTAACTCTATAATCTTAAATAAATTAGGGTTTGCTAACTACCTTAACCTTCTGGAACCCGTCAACTTATCCCTGTCTGATGGAAAAACAGGTGGTCTCACAAACATTCCTTGGTTTAAAGGAAAACACCTATATATGTCTCACAATTTTCCTCTAACTTAAACATACTGTTGTTAAACGGCTAAGCCGAGTCGACTTAGTTGCGACTCGAGTCTAGTTTCTAGTCGATAAAACGACTTCGACTCGAGTCGATCAAAGGAGCCGCATTATCACTTAGTCGGCTCGCTTAATTGGCTCGTGTAGTAGGCTCGCTGGACCTGCTCAATATTTTAGTTTTTTTATTTATAAGTAAATTATATTTTTATAAAATCTGGTAAATTGCTAAATTTTGGATTACTGATTGTGAACTAAATTATAATAAGAATATTTATGTCGTAAAAATGGTTCAGAACCTCAATTCGGCTTTAGGGATTTTAGACGGTGAATATATAATTTATATTGTTAAGAAGTTAAATTATAAATTCAATGAAGATGTTCCTTGGAAAAATGACAATTGTCATAAACGTTTATTTAAAGTTTTTTAAATTTTTTTGAAATGGGCTAAAATGAGTATTGCTAACATGTCTAAATTAAACTCAATGAAAATGTATCCTCAATAAGTGACAATTGTCATATCGTTATTGTTAAAGATGAAAAAAAGTTTTTTTTTATCCTCCTCTTTTATTATGGTTAAGATGAAAAAGTTTTTTTAATCCCCCTCTTTTGTTTATGTTAAAGATAAATAAAGTTTTTTTTTAATACCCCTCCTTTGTTTACAATAAAATGAAAGTTATAAAAAAAGGTTTCTCTTTTTGGTCCTTCTTTTGTTTTAAGTTAAACACAGTGAAAATAAAACATATGGCTTTTGTGTTTTCTCTCATTTTACTGGATTTCTTACTTTAGGAGTCCTCAGTAAGGTGATCCGAAAATATGAGTTAGACCGTTGGGTCCGGGAGACCACCTTGCATCCCAAGGTATATTTTGAGTTTCGGGAAGTTTAGGTGGGTAGGTTTTATCCCCAATTATCGATAAAACTAACACAACTCGGTTCCACAAAAACGTTCTTTTTTCACTTTGCACCAATTTAATTTTAATTTATAATTGCGCCTTTTATTTTCCCTATAAAAGGGACGAATCTTTTATAGTTTTGATACTTTATTTTTTTTCTGTAAAATAATTTTGAAAATCTTTACACACTTTTTATGTTTAAAAATAATTTTGAAATTTTTATTAACAAATTATCATGACCCTGTCACAAAATTTTTCAGTTATTTTTAAAGTTTTTTAATAATTTTTGACGCTAATGGGTAAAGATATAGATTGTAAACATGTTGAATTAAAATTTCATGATGATATACCATAGGAAAGTGACAATTGTCATAATCGTTATTTTTAAAGTTTTTTGAATTTATTTTTGACGCAAATGGGTTAAAATATAGATTGTAATCTATTTTTTCCATATGTTTATGAAATTCAAAATTTTAAATTTATAAGATGTGTATTTTATCATATTGATAAATAATATTCATATGGTTTATAAATTCTTTTCATAAAATCTTACTTTGAATACAAACTCAGCACGATTTCGCAGTGAGTATACAAAAATTTATGCTAATAATGAATGCAGGGTTATAATTTTTAATATATGTAGAATTAAAATTTATTAATTAAAGGAATAAGATTGTGAATCCTTATCTTAAAAGTTTAAATAACATGAGTTACTGACCTCTTTTGTTAAATCAGTTTGCATGTTTTCATCAAATTTATGATAAGGACAACGATTATGAGCATAAAAATAGCCATTATTTTTTTTTGTTTCGCCATAGCATCAATTTCTCAAAAAAATATGAAAGTTAAATAACAAAGTTACTGCCACTTTTCTGAATTATTTCAATAAAACTTAAACAAAATATCTTTTTTGATTTCTCAAAAACTTATTGGAAAACTTTAAAATAACGATTATGACAATTATCAGTTTCCTATGGTACATCATCCTGAAATTTTATTCAACATATTTACATTCTAAATTATAACCCATTGGCGTCAAAATAATTTAAAAAACTTTAAAAATAACGATTATAACAATTGTCACGTATCTAGCATCTTCACTGAAGTTTTATTTAAACATGTTAGTAATACCTATTTTAGCCCATTTACGTTTAAAAAATTTAAAAAACTTTATAAATAACGATTATGACAATTGTCACTTTTATTGGTACATCTGAATTGAAATTTTACATGTTAAAATACATATTTTTGTCCATTAACGTCAAAAAATCTAATATATTTAAAAATACCGATTATGATAATTGTCATTTTTCCAAAAAACATTTTCATTGAATTTATAATTTAACATCTTTAGCATATAAATTTGTGTCAAAAAATCTTAAAAAATAACGAATATGACAATTGTCACATTAAAATATTATCATATAAAATAACATAAAAAGGTTTAATATAAATATTTTAAAAAAATTATTTAGATAAACCACCTCTCTTAATATACTTAAAAAATAGATAATTTTGCAAAAATGATAAAAAAAACTATAAATTCAAATTCACAAAAGAATTCCTTAAAAAAGATTTTACAAAGAAGATTTAAAATTTTTATCAAATCAAAATATGTTTCAAAATTCTTTTTGAACTTCAAAAAATATTTTTGCTTAAAATTTTGGGCGTGAAAATCACTAATAAATTGTAACAAAAATAATATTACAAAAAAAATCAAATTAATATATCCATTTTTGTAATATAATCATATTTCATATAAATATAAAATATTTTTTTATGTTGATAATAATAAAATATTAACTTTAAATATAAATAAAATATATTTTATTAAAATTAAATAAATAAAATTCTACATAATTATATTCTTAAAATGTCTCAATCAAATAAATTTTGGCTCTAATTTGAACTCAAGCTAGCTTCTGAGCCGGCTTTAGCAAAATTCTGCTGATCCGATCATTTGTTTCAATAAACTGGCTTCAGCCTATATCAATTTTTCAATTCACAAACTGGCTAAGTTTAGAACCTAATCACAAATAAAATTAATTTCTAAGCCGACTTGAGCCAACTCCTGAGCCGGCTTATTAAGTTCATGTTATCAAAATTTCCACCAATTTAAGTCTAAAATCTCTAAAGCCGAATTCGGGTCCAGTCTTATTATAATTTTTGTTACATTAATCAGTAACCCAAAATTTAGTAATTTATTAATTAGCCGTTTATAAAAATATTATTTACTTATAAATAAAAAAACTAAAAAATACAGCAGACCCAGTGAGTCGACTACACTAGCCGACTAAGAGATTAGGCTCATGCGGCTATCGGTTTGACTCGGAGCGGTTTTTCGAATCGAGTCGCAAGTGGTAAGAACTCGACTTTTTAACAACACTCCAAACATGAATACGATTATTACAGTTGAAAAGACAAAAATTAGAAAGTATCACAACTTTTCTGATTTTTTTTATTTAAATAGTTATTTCTACCAATGGGTCCTTAGGCCCATTAGGCTATCATTTTTTTAAAAAAATTCTCAAATTAATGATGATCCGCTTTTAAAATGTTACATTCAACTCAAATCACTGTATTTCTAATCAACTATCTTAGTTTCCTCGGATCTCAATAAGAATTTTTTTGCTCCTCTCCTCCCATGTTGTTTATTAATTCATTTATTTATTTTTAAATGTCGTTTTAATTCATTTTTTAAATGTTATTTTTATACATGCTGTTTTTTAATATAAATAAATAGAATTTCACTAAAAGGTTTATTTTTAACTAAGAATTAATTGAATATTAGAAAATGGTCGGATATATTATTAAAAAACATGCTATTATCTGGATTTATAAAATGTATCATTTTCTTTATAGTTTTTTTTAAGATTATCAGTACAGTATGTGTCAAATTTTGCAGTCAAACCTGTCTAATTTGGGCTTTTGATAATTCGGGAAACTCCCTCATCTGAAAAAAATTTTGAGACTAAATCAAATTCCTACTAATTGTTATTAAAAATTTGGAAAATTGTACAACTCTCTACTTTAAAAAGTGGGCAGATATTTAATTTTTTGTCTATTTACGTAAGATCTCTATAAAGTAAGCTCTTGTGTTTTTGTTGATTTATCATCTTTTTAAAACTATTCATGTTATTGGATTCCAGATTTCAAAAACTTAGTCCCAATACTTTAATTCATTTATAATTATTAGCCCAATGCAATTCTTGTTCGACACCTATTATTTCTTGAACAAATAATGTAGAAATAAAAAAAAATTGATGAAAATAAGTTCAAATTCTAAGGATTATTTAACAAAAGTAGAGCAAATTTATTCCTTTACATCTATAATAATCAAATTAGAATAAGAATATGGGTTGTTACTAGGTCAAAAAATAATAATATCCTGATAACTTAATTTTTTGTGAAAAAAGTAAATAGGCTGGTAAATATAGAGAAAAAAATTATATACCCGCAAAACAAAAGGAACAAATCTTTTTAACATAATTTCCTTTCCTTATTATCCGTCAGTTTCAGATAAATCATCTTCATCCACGATAATTACAATAAATTAGATATATAATAATTATTAATATTTTCTTTGAAATTTATTTGCACTGTTAATATATTGTACATCTTAAAAACAGTATAGCTATAGCATTAGGTGCTTGGTGCGCCGATCCAGCCACAAAAACCTTTAGGCAGCTGTAGAATCTGTGCATCAAGCTGGTAAGATTTTAAAATAAATTTAACCTTTTATAAATATGGAACTAGTCGTCAATAAGAATACTAATATTGAATTGTAATACAGTTGCCTGAAGGATCTGGAATATGAATAAAATGGATTCTTTAAAGTTGAATGATAAGTACGATATATAAAATCACTGGGTATTTTAATCATTTTATATAAAATTATATATTATTCTTTTGAAAATAAAGTTGACTAGATTTTAACATATAAAAAATATTAAATTTAACTTAATATCAGATAATTTTAAGTTGCAAAAAATCAAATTTTGGAGTAAGGCTGGAGAATATCCGAAATCTATAAATATAATAAAATTGGTTATGGATTAATAATAATAAAATATAGTTAAAATAAATTAAATCAATATAATTATAATTTAGACAAAAATTTTGTCATATACAATTGACAAACCAGCATCTTTAATATGTATAAAACGTCCCATATATATAATAATATAAATTTTACAGAAATATGATTATTTTATTAAATATTTTTTGAGAATCCATTAATTGAAATAAAAAATTAATATTATTATAATTTAAGTACAAATTTTATGATCTTTAATTATAAATTTATTTTTAAAATCATGACCCACTCCAATTTTTTATTTTTACAGCATTTTATAATTCACAATTTTACGCCACCTCAAGATTTTTCTGAAATTCCGTATCCAGATAGGTCATGCATGTTTTATAGCCAGGTACAACAGTGCACATGATTTGCCTAACAGTTTTATAAATTGTATTTTTAAATAAAATTAGTTCTAATACTAAACAAACTAGTCTATATCATGCCTTTATCTATGTATTACCAACCCCATTTGCCCTCAATAAATTAAAGCATAGGTTTAACCCTGATATCTTTATTATTTATAGCACTTTAGAAAAATAAGTAAATAAATTTCATAAATTATAAACACAAATTTATAAACATAGTAAGGTTATAATTATAAAGTTAAAAAAAAATCACTTTTTTTACCTTTTATATTGAATAAGTTTTTAGTATATTTGAGACATTTGTATTAAATTTTAAAAATATCGATTTTAAAAAATATATAATTCTAACCAATTAATATCTACTTTTTTGCCATTATTTTGCTTGTGTTAAAGTATAATGCATTATTAATAATATGTATATTTTAATAATATATAATGATTATTATTATGTTTTTATATTGGAAAATATTTGACAAAACCTTTGATAAATTAAAAAAAAATTATTTCATTTTGCCTACCATTTTTTTTGTAATATTGATCGATAATTTTTTTTAATTGATATCATTTTTCTCACCCTTAGGTTAAAATTCATTATCAACCTAAATGTGCATTATGAATTAATAGCAATATATTTTGCTATATTTTTTGAATGAAAAATATTGGATATTTAATCGATTTGATATAGATGAATGTTTAGATAGTAAGCCTTGAAATAATTTAATAATTTAAAAGGTACTTTTTGGACAATAAAAAAGATAATATTCATAATAATCATAGAAGATAAATTTAATTATTTAAATAAAATTTATTGAGTAAAACAAACATTTCGCAAAAATATTACATGTTTATAATAATAATTTAAAAATATAATTTTTAAATTTAAAATAAAATTAATTGATATTATATAAGAAGTGTATTTTTCTTTGTCAGAGAGAGACCTAAAAGTACCCATTTAACGGCGAGATTTAAATTTTTTTTTATCAGGCCAGGTTTCTAAAATTTTTATTCTCTCTAATTGTGTAGTGTAGTTATATAATAAGCAAATAAATTATTTAATCTATTATTTGATAACTGCTTAATTGTATAAGCTAAATTTATTTTATAAAAATTGACCCTGTTCTTGATTTATTTTTTTGAAATCGGCCAAACTTTTGAGAGGAAATCTGATATAATATTGAAAATAACAGTTGTGTATTTCGAGGGAGGGAGAGTCAAATGACATTTGACCATCCTGTTCTCCAATACTTTATAATTATAAATAGATTTTTTTTATTATGATTCACCTCCCTCAAAATCCTAGATACGTTCAATGGATATTATACTTATTCTAAAAATAAATTACAAACGAAATTTAACATTTTTAATTACCCATTTACATACTATGAAATCTTATAGTTTTATTTATTAAAATTAAACAAATTTTTTCATGGATGTTATTTTATTTTTCTTAGCAAATAAGATATCAAACATAATTTAATAACTCTAACCTTTTATGGTATAAAATTAAAAGCAATAAAAACAAAGAGTACAAGTATTGTTATAGTTATGAGATATATATTGTCACAATAAAAAAAGAAAAGTCAATTTCTATAATACTCAAAAATTTAATTTGTGAAATAGTAAAAGATCGATAAAAATACCTATAAATATATTTTTATTTTTACAGGTTAAATATCTTTTAAAATAACAAGGAATATATATAAAATAATGATAAAATTTTTGCCGTCAAGATTTGTCCTAATCCCTATAACGTATATTTTGTAATAATAAATTTCTTAAAATGATATAATATTTTTTTAAGTGAATGCTTATAATTAATATACTTTTTGCAAATATTATTTTTCAAAGACTTAAATATTACTTTGCAAAAGAAGTTACTAAATACAGGGAATTAGTTACTTGCAGGGTTGGACAGTATTTAAATTTAAAATGCAGATTACTTTTTATATTTAGTATTTATTTGTTTGAATATGTTAGAAAGTATTTAGATTTTAAATATTGAAATTTTGTATTATATATATATTCATAATTTGTTGATTTAAATATTAAATTTCTTTTGAAGTAATTGCTTCAAGTAGGAAATTTGTACCCCCATAATGGGGGTACTTTTATTGAAAATATTTTATTTATTTTTTTTTCACAAAAATTGCATTTTAATTTCATTTATAGTTCTACCCCGATAACCAAAAAAAAATCACACTTTATTATTTATCAAAAAATAATTTAAGAACAGGATTTCAATAGAAAAGGGGAGTTTGTGTATTTATCGTAGTTTAGGGATACATATAATGATTCAATATCTTATCTATTTCACCCTTAATTTCATTCAATTTCAAATAATGCCCAGAAATGTTAACCAAAAGAATATATAAATGTTTAATAAATCATTGCGAATCCCAAAATATAGGGGGTGATAAATAGAGAGACCATAAATCATAGAAGTCTCAATTATAACGAGATAAAAAATATTATTAAATCGTAGTAATGGGGTAAACATTTCTAAAAAAATTAACGCGTTCGAGTTCAACGTTCATTGGAAAAAATTGAACGTGTTTCAAGTTCAAGTTTATTTCCAAAAAAAGGAGCTAGTTCACGTTCATGAACGCATTCACATTCGTTCAAAACTTTATGAATAAATTTTTTTAAAAAAATATGAATATAAATACGATAAAAATAGTGTTAAAACTTAAAAATAATAATGAAATTTCACATAATCACACTAAAATAAATAAATTCTATAAGATATTAACTATTTTATATCTATGAATATTTATATTATTTAATGATTTTTACTTAATGTATCTATTATAATAATCCTAACCTAATAATTTAATAATGAAATACAACAATCTAAAATAAATTATTAACAGGATACTTGTAGTTATATTGTATTTATTATATTTGGGTTATGGTAATGTTAATTCAACTGATTCTGAAAATTCAGAATCAGAAAATTATAATAAAATAGCAACATCTATGTTTACGCTCTATAAATAATATTCTGGCTGGTTAAAAAATCCAATGTGATAAAGGAAATAGTTGATTAAAAAATAATCCTTTTTTTCTTAAAAAATTTGGGTTAAAATTAAATAAATATTTATTTTCAATGATAAGAAGATTTTCTAAGATTGAACGAAGGTAAAATTTTAACACGTTCGTCATAAAAACGCATTCACTTTCAAAGTTCGTCAACAATAGAACGTCGTTCATTATTTTATTCAAAAAAAGGAACTTCGTTTATGAACGTGTATTGGCTGAGGAGTATTTAGGCCTAGTCATTAATATAGGGACGACCCAGTGGCGTATCCAGGATTTTCCTATAGGGGGGAAATTTTTTGGGGGCGCTCCCAAACTCCCTTTGGCTGGCCTTCGGCCAGCATTTCCCCTACCTTCGGCCGGGTCATATCTTTTAGCTATTCTTTTAAATTATTCATAATTCTATATTAATTATATTAATATTTTTAGCTTTTATTTACTAATTTATGAATATTTAAGGAAGAAATATTATAACCCAATTTTTATTTTAAGTATATTATAAATAAATTTTTTTTAATAATATAAAATTGAAATAAAGTTTAGTGTCAATTTTTTTTTATAAAAATGGCTTAAAAACTAGTTTCAACTTAAATTCTCATATAATTTAAATAGAATAAAAAAATTTTTATTGAAAATACTAGTTGTAGTGTGTATAATATTGACTAGAAAATTTTTTAAAAAACAAGTTTTTATAACTTATCATCAAATACAATTACAAAAAATTTATTAAATACTAGAATTATAATGCGATTTTTAATTTTCGTGGGAAATTTGCCAATTCATCAAGAATTTTCTTTGTCGTTGGAATCAAATCTCTGTGGATATTTAACAGAGCTAACCCATTTACCCGAGATTCGGAAGTAATATTTTCAACCTTCTCAATTTGAAAAAGGTCTTTTCATTCGTATATGTTGTAATAGACAAACATGCAAGAATATTAAATGCCTTCAAAATATTTGGAAATTAAGCCAAGGTTTCCTTATACCGATTGAGCGCATCAATAGCATGCTCAGATAAAATAATAAACGTAGTAAATATTTATACCACAATTCGAATTCATTGATTAAATTGATTTCAGTATCAATATCATAAGAATAAAATTTTGCTAAATATTTAATTTTACCAATATGGCATCAGAAAACGAAGAAGGGTCTTTAGGTAATAAAATTTGAAGATTACCAAAGACTTGTTTTTTATCTAAAAACCGTACTTTAATTTGTGATAAAAAGTATCTAAGAATGGGATGAAATTGGATATTTTATAAAATTCTATAAGATTTAGTTTTTGATTCAACGTCTATATAAATATTATGAAATATTCATCTACATTCATTCTTCCCGTTCACATTTTCCTCCAAATCAATAAATCGAAATTTGGTTTTTGTAAATTTCTACATAGTAGTGAGCTATAGGAAAATTATATTTTAATCCAACTATCAGTAAGGATAAAGGGGGGTGGGGGGAAAATTTTTATTAGCTTAAAATGATATTTAGGAAAACAGTTAAATTTACGATGGGGGTGAAATT